ATTTGATTTTGTTTCCGAAAGTAGGAAATAAAAGAAAAATTCTTATCAATTATAAAAATAAATACATAACTAAGAATAAAATAAATTCCTTAGAAATAGACGAAGAGGCGAAGCAACGAATCTTTCAAATTATAGCTGAAAATGAGATCTTATCAGATTCTTAGGAAGAGGAAATGGTTATTGGGACTATTGAAGATGAAGATTTAATCATGACTTGTCTAAAGGAGAAAATAATAGTGACAGTGACGTAAATGTAATTATTATAAGGCTATTGTTAATATGAATGATTTAGGGCTAAAAATTCTTATAAATGCCTATCGGCGAAGTGAGCCAATCGGCAAAAATACTGTTCATGGACATGTTATGTCGGTATCGGTTTTGCCTAAAAACTGCCAGAGACCTACAGGAGTCATGGCGGTTCTCATATATTTTTTACGTCAATTTTGAGTGAAAAAAATCTTGTCATGGACATGCTATATTCGTGACAGACTGCCACGAACATGCCATGTCCGTGACAATCTTTAATCCATGCCGTCCGAAAAAATCAGACAGTGCCGAGGCTAGAGATGAAATACTGTTCATTTTCACCCATAGGCGTTTTGTAGTTTCTTCATACGTATATATATGGAAAAGTTTATAGAGAGTCGAGGCTCTAAATAATTAAATTAGAGTCTACCTCAAAAATTTCACTAGAAGAGGTTGTTTTGATGCTTGAATTTCTTCAAAATGATCATCTAGACATCAAGATGCATGGACAGGAGAAAAAAATGGATTTCAAGTTTTGAAAGTAGTGCATTTTGTAACACATTTTTGGACCGTCAATTTTCAAGACTTTCAAGTTTTCGTAGATTTGTCGATGCACACTATTTTTTTAAGCTTTAAACTTTATAAACAAATATGAAAATATATTGTAAAGCTATCACAAAGATTTCCAATATTAAAACCACATTTCTCGACACTATTTGAAGGTAGGCTCTAATTTGATTGTTTAGGGCCTAGGCTCTAGAAAAATTGCACCCCCCTCCCCCAACACACACACACAAACATGTATATATAGGAAGATGCTAGGGTGAGCCCACTAGCTCGTAGGAAAAATGAGCCCAAACGCCTAGATTGAATTTGGGTCGATATAACGATCAAGGATGCCCGATAGTATTTTAATTTTAATTTTTTTTCTACAAATCCAAATAACTTGAAATTTTATACTTGTATTGATAAAAAATAGCTGAATTTTTTAAAAATATTAAAAAAAATTTACATGAAAAACATTACCAAAATACCCCGATAAATTTTCGGAGGTATTTTGGTCATTTTAAATTTTGAAGATTAATTTTTTTTATATTTTAATTAGGTGCAGATTGATGAGAAGACATCCATCTAAAATGTCAAGTGATTTTGGCGTTTGAAAAAAAAAAAAAAATTCATACACTCTCGATCGTCAGATCGACCCAAATTCAATGAGGCTTATACTATTCTGTGAGCTAGTGGGCTCACCCAAGTTTTTTTCATATATATATATATATATATATATATATATATATA